TGATCCTACAGCTCTACACCAGGAACAAAGATATAGTTTATTTAAAAAGAAAACTTCTAAGTCTGTTATTATCATACATATATAGAAGTTCTAATTAGTTTAAATAATACCCAATCTTTCATGCCAGAATACAGGCTAGAAAAAAGGATGATTACATGCATTAAAGGTAACTAGGGAGGTAGGGAAAAGATAAAATGATTGATTTTTTTATATACATATAAGGAAAATAAATGAATTCATAAGTTAGATTGGACACAGGCTAATAGGAAAACAAAGAAATATAGGAAGAAGTCTACAATTCATTATAAAAATAATCTATTTCAATATACCAATTCTACGTATAATAACTGGATGCCAAACATGACAAAAGAAATGTATCAATTAAAAAGTCATTTAACAAAAGAACAGTTTATACATTCCTTTCAATTATGTCCATAGAAAGTTATAAATTACATTTTGAAACCCAAAAGAACCTTTCTAAACAAATGAAATACAAATTCAGGATCTAAGACTTTGTTTTAAAAAATTTTAAACACCATAATTTATACTCTTGTAACAAAAAACAAAAAATGACAGCTATATACACTTTTAAAGTTTCAAAAAGGTCAATAGAGCAATGGTGCCACTTTATTTGCTTTTATATGAGAGGGCTTCAGAAAATTTGTGGAAAAACAGAATTAAAAATTTCCAACTTTTTGAAGCCCCCTTGTACCACCTATTTTAATTTTCTATTGAATAATAGATTCAAAGAAAAAATGTTGAAATAACAAAGACTTAATTATAGTTATTCTTAAAATATCCTAATTTTGCCCATGTGCCCAAAACTTGTTAATTACATTAACAGCCTCTAGCAAAACAAGGCACACAAGATCGGATTTTGATAAAAGTGCTTCCTCTTTGGTCTTATTATTTTAAACATGATACATATCCTGAAGATTTTAAAGATGATTTTTCAGTATAGCAAATAACCATTACAAATCTTCACATTTAAGCGCACATTCACACGTAATTAAGCAGTATCACAATTAAAGTGTATATAAAATGAGCGCTGCCAATCTCTTATTTTTTAATTTTAAAAAAGAAAAACTCAGTTAAATGACTGTATGATGACATTTTTGGAGTTGAATAATTTGATGGTCAGAATATATCGCTTAAGAATCTAGTTTAAATACCAAACTACATTTCCTCCTAAGAAATTCTGTGGCACATCAAAATAAATTTATGTAAGCATTTATAAACTACATTTTCCACTATATAAATCTGATGACTCAAAATGTACTTATTATTCTTGGTGGTGGTGTTATGTGCCGTGGAGTCGGTTCCGACTCATAGCGACCTTGTACAGGGTTTCCGAGGCTGTAAATCTTTATGGGAGCAGAAAGCCTCATCTTTCTCCCTGGAAGAGCTGGTAGTTTTGAACTGCTGACCTTGCGTTTCACAGCCTGATTTGTAACCACTATGCTGCCAGAGCTCCTTGTACTTATTAGAGAATTGATAATATTAGTATGTCAAAGCACTTAATTTTGTTCTAAATACCATATTTTAAATATTTGCACTGTCATTGGCACTCTTTTCCTATGAGTTAACTCATTTTCAAAATGAACAGTGTCGTTAAGAGATAACAAACTTCCAAAAGGTATGGAGGTGGTGATGCCAACCCTGTATAGGGTATAGGATATAGCTGTAAATCTTTGCGGGAGCAGAAAAACCTTATCTTTCTCCCATGGAACCGCTCATCGTTTTGAACTGCTGACCTTGACTCCTGACCACTATACTATCAGAGCTCCTTTCCAAAAGGTACAGGAATTATAACAGTCAAGGAGTCATCATTATTAAAGATTGATACAGTAAGGCCTTTGGAGGTTGAATACATCGTTAAAATATACACTATAAATGCAAAGCAGATAGCATCAATTGTATATATGGCATGATGCAAGACAGAAGCCCACCTTCCCACATAGTTATTTATGAAGTAAAAATTATGAGTAACAGTCTAGGTAGACTTTTTAATACTAAACATTTTCAAGTCTCCTAGGAAAGCCAAATCGAAATTATGCCTACCTAATGAAGTTTTGGAGTCCTGGTGTGGTGCTGTGGGTTAATGCGCCAGACTGCAGATTCATTCGACAGCACTTCACAACAACAAATGAAGTTTGGGGGAATTTGTTTTTAAAATATACTTCAGCAAATGTTGTCCTTTTTCATAACTTTTCATTATATTTTTATAAACTTCGGTGAGAATCTTGAAATTTTAATTTTATTGTTGTTATTAAGTGCCATCAAGTTGATTCTATCCCATAGCAACCCTGCATAGGGTTTCCAAGGAGCAGCTGGTGAGCTTGAACTGCTGACCTTGCAGTTCAAACGGCTTTGCAGTCTGGCGCATTAACCCACAGCGCCACACTAGGATTTGAAAATGTATTTTGACTATAATAACATACCTAATATTCAACCAATCATTTCCTTGTCATCATTTTTAAGTATTAAAATATGAGATTAAACCTGAATTAATAATTATGAATGCACAGTGAATTAGTACATAAGTACTCAACCAGTACTTCAGTGTGGCTGAACATGAATCTGCAGTCTTGATTCTATACATTTGTAGAATGAAGATTTCATTTAGCATTGGTTAATAAGGAGTCCTGGTCTAGCACTGTAGGATAAGCACTGGACTGCAAACCACAAGGTTGGCAGTTCAAAATCTCCAGTCACTCCTTGGAAACACTATAGTGTCACTCGCTATGAGTCAAAACTTAAGGGCACTTGAAAACAACCGTCTGAATGGTGTTGTAGAATAAAAACACCATGCTTAAAATGTAGTAAGCTTCTAACCAGATACTTTAGAAGGTGGACACTGAAAACTATGAGCCTGGCATCCAGAACATTTGTTTTGTATCAATTTGGAATCACTAGCAGATTGATTTAAAACACTTTATAACTTTAAACATTGAAAATTCTGGATGGAATAGATAAAGCCTGCTAAATTCTCATTAACAAGGTAACAAAGTCAATCCTTGTTAGCCAAGAGTATCCAACAGTTGGTAACGTAAGATCTGTTTAATCAAATCAAATTCTGTTTGACAAAGTACATTAGAACTATATAAAAATAGTTTATTTACAGTTTTAATATCTATTAGAACAGGTGACTTAAAAAATATATACAGTATGAATGAAAAAAAAATAATTCCTATATTCAGTAGGTAATTCTATCTATAGTCAATAATTAAATTAAATCCATATTCCAATTTTAGAAAGCATTTTTGCCTAATAATTCATATTAACATTTCTGATATATTTTCTCTCTCTTGAACCAACTTATTAAATAACTCATGTAATTTACTATTTTAATTCCAGTGTTAATCAAAATGATTAAAAGAAACAAACCATAATTTTAAAACAAAGTAGTGGCTCCTTCCCAGCAGTTCTGTAGGACCACAGAAAGGGAATTCATTAACTCATTGCCTCTCTCAGTCATCAACTAGAGCATTCCTGGTAGCAGTGGGTTTATGGTGGTGGTGGTGGTTATGTGCCATGGAGTCAGTTCCGAATCATAACGACCCTGCACAGGGTTTCTGAGGCTGTAAATCTTTACAGAGGCAGAAAGCCTCATCTTTCTTCTGGGGAACAGCTGGTAGCTTTGAACTGCTGACCTTGAAGTTAGCAGCCTGACTCATAACCACTGTGCTACCAGAGCTCCTTAGTGGGTTTATAGGAGGCCTAAAAATTTCTGAGAAGCTTTGAATTTAAAGGTACAGTGCCATCTCAAATAATGTAATACCATGGCAAGTTGGAATGTCACCAAGAAACATCATTTGTTATTAAATTATTGACACCTATGCTGTTTTTTGGTTGTTTTGTTAAATACTGTTGATTATAAAAAATATTTTACAGCTCAGTCAGTAAAATATTCATTTAAAAACTCTGAGTTATATACAATATATGCTTGATAGTTTAAAATTCTCCAAATGGAGATATTGTAGACAATATTATTTTATTTTAAATTATTAAATTATTCAATCCTTTAAAATTAAAATTTAAAACTTTAATGTAAATTAACATACATAAAATTCAAAGGAATATTAAGGATTTATCTGATTTACAGAAAGAAATACAATTTAGAAGATTAAGGGCAAAATTCCATTAGTGTAAAAGTCACTGGCTACTAGCTAGCACAGGAGCATGTGGATTGCTTTTAGCCGTTTTGAAACATTAACATAGAGACTACAGGACAGAGTAGAACTGCCCTAGAGCTTCCAAAGCTATAAATTTTTAAGGAACCCAACTGCCACATCTTCTACCACAGAGTAGCTGGTAAATTTGAACCACCAGGTTTTTTGGTTAAGCAGCTGAGCACTTAAACCACTGCACCAGCTTAGATGGTCTTAAAATGTACATGGAGATACAGATGTGTGACTCTGTCTACATTAAATTTAAAAATGACTTGCATTCTGAGAAGTCGGGTGCAGAATGTCACTTCATCAATTTTTATGTAGTTTAACAAATAACATCTGGCAAGGCTTTGTTTAAATACAAAAATTTCAGATACATTAAAATGTTTTCTCAAATCATACTTCTATTTCTTCACAGCTTTGTAGATAATAATTGTAATTTTCAAACTTTTAGTATACCATGTGATTTAAATAGATCTGATTTATAAAATTTGATATCTGATATTTGTTGTGTGCTCTTGCAAAGAGTACATAGGACTTTTCTGCAGCAATCAAAAAGGTAAAATCTTCTTAAACTCAGATTTCAAGTTTCTTCCAATAATTAATCCCTGGAAACACTTTTCAAGTTTTGATTTCTAGATATAATAGGCATTCTTCGACATATACACATATTTTATCTCTAAACTTTAATATTTTCAAACCATTTGAATAATGTGGTCAGATTCAGCATGATGATATCTTCACAGAACTGAGAAAGTCCTCTGTACAAGATAAATTTCGAATTTCCTTGTACACCATCTTGAAAAAACGAGTTAAACTAGTACACAGCTATGCTTTAGTAGGATTTCCTGCAGGCTTGGGGTCATATCCATACAGGAAAGTAGCTGTTATTACAAGGATGGCTCCAAGGAAAAAGATACTAAATAAAATGAAAGAAAAATGAAAGTCAGATGAAAAGAAAAATAACTTCCTTCTATTTATTATAAAACAACTATAATTTAGAAAAATGTTCCATACTATAGCTAAAAAAACACTGATTACTATATTCCAGATATTTGGCTAAGAACTTTACATACATATCTCATCTAGTTCTAACAACAACCCTATGAGTTGTACCAGTATTGCCCTCCTATTTTATATTTGAGGAAATTAAGGTTTAGGGTGTAAGTATGGTACTTGTATGGTGCTGCAGGATAAGCGCTCAACCATAACGTTGCTTTGAACTGCAAGGTTGGAGCTTCTAACTCATCAGCTGCACCATGAGAACTCTATACAGCGTTGCTATGAATCGAATTGACTTGAGGCACTTACCAACATGACAAGTTGACTAAAGTCCTACAGCTTTAGGTAGAAGGCAGGATAAAGTGGAAGACGGCTAAATCTAGGTATGTCTGACTCTAGAACCTATATTTTCACCCACACTTCACAATGCTGTTGTTACTAAGTTTTCAGTAGTTGTCATCTTTCAGAAGTAGATTGCCAGGTTTTTCTCTCAAGGTGCCTCTGGGTAACTCCTCGAACCACCAACTTATTGATTAGTAGTTCAGTGTTTAACCATTTGTACTATCCAGAGGATCCAGAGAGAGCATTCTTTACTATAGACTGGAAATTAATTTAAACTGGAACTGGAAAGCCTATCTAATTTCTAACGAGTATATTATATTTTTTAAAGTTCTGTTATATAGGTATGAGTTAGTCTTGGTTTTAAAGTTTACATTAACACTTCAAAGTCACTCTCCTACTTTAACTCAGGTCCAGTGCCTCCAAGACTCACTCCTTTAGACAGTTACTCTATAATATTTATTGCAGTGTATTAAATAATTCATTATTTGCATACCTAACCTCTGTTGGGTAAAATACATCCATGCAAATACATCCATGGTCCCAACCCCTATTGCTGTTGTTGCTAAATGCCGTCTAGTCAGTTCTGACATATAGCAACCTTGCATAGGGTTTCCAAGGAGTGGCTGGTAAGCTTGAACCACTGACCTTGTGGTTCAAACTGACTTTGCAGTCTAGCATTATTAACCCACAGTTCAGTACCAGGACAGAACCCCTGTTAAGATTATATTAAAAATTCAAGGTACATACAATGGTTTGTAATAACAAATGGGTGCTACTTTATGACATCTGTTAAGACATTCTTGCTACTATATTACTATATTTAAGATATTTCAGTGTAACTAGAAGTGTTTCTTTAACTTTTTTTTATGTGTCAGAAGGTATGCTATATACTATATAAACATTTGACTGAAATTAGATATTAATTGAACTTATCTGTTCCAATTAAAATTTGACTTAATGACATACTTAGATATTTATATAAGAGGGGCAACAACACTAGTGAACTATGTCATATAAAGGTAAGCCATTCTAGATCAAAAGGGCAGCATTTACCCCAAGACAAAGTTCAAAAGGGTTGGGAAATAAAGAGGACTGGAGAAAAAAAACACAGGGAGGAAGTGGGATAAGAGATGTTGTTACATTGAGGGCCTTTTAATCATTGAGATGAAACTAAGTAGATGTGTTAAATATAAAACTGATCATCTCCTCTGTAAACCTTCACACAGTTCACAAGTTAAAAAAACAAACAAAACCAAAACAATGGTGTTTTCATTAAGTTAAGAATAAAGAGAATTTAGTTATCTATTTTAGGAAAAAATAACGGTCTTCTCCATTTGGTTCAGCATGTTTGGTATACTCTCAAACATTCATTTATTCATTCAGTAACATATTTCTTCTTTAGTCTTCATCACAATGTATGTCCTCCCACACCCCCAAAGACTGTTGCATGTATTCATGGCAAACCTATACACAAGAGTAGAACTGCCCATAAGATTTCCAAGGAGCAGCTGGTGGGTTTGAACTACCAACTTTTGCTTCACAGTCCAGTGCTGATCCTACAGTGCCACACCAGATGTCTTCACACCCTACATACTACCTCAGAAACATGGATTTATTTACACTTACATGTTAATAGATTTACTATGATAAACTATGACTCTTTTATCTGTTGACCAGTTTACTTGTTTATTCCCTGTACGAAGTATAGAAAACTCCCTCAGCATTATATACCTTATTTTTTTGAAAAGTTATAACATTTTAAGTAAAAGCTGCAAGTTTCAAACATTCTCTAGTAACTAATGCTAAGATTTTCTCTATTATCATTCAAATGTTGGTGCCAATTGTTAGGCTAGTTTTACTAGCTAAGTGATTTGTTTCTACACTAAGCTGAAAATCATCTGAAATACTTTCAAATTCATGCCTCAGAAAAATTAAAGATCTCCTATTAACCAAATTGCTTGATAATCAAAACCATAAATTTCCAATACAGTAATATACCCAAAACCTGCTGCCATCGAATTGATTCTAACTCATAGCGACCCAATATAGGGTTTCTGAGACTGTAAATCTTTATAGGAGCAGACACTCTCATCTTTCTCCCTTAAAGTGATTAGTGGGTTTGAACTGCCACAGTTAGCAGGCCAAAGCCTAACCCATAGCACCACTAAGCCTCCTTACTACATTATATATAATATGGTGGTGGTGGTGTACCATGGAGTCAGTTCTGATTCATAGTGACCCAGCATAGGGTTTCTGAAGCTGTAAATCTTTACAGGAGCAGAAAGCTTCATCTTTCTCCCACGGAACAGCTGGTAGTTTTGAACTGCTGACCTTGACGTTAACAGCCTGACTCGTAACCACTACATTACCAGAGCTTCTTACATATAATATAGGGAGCATATTATATATATATATGTATAATACTTAACAAAGATAATTATGTTTATCTGCTGTCATATTCTAGCCACAATCCCATCCACCAATTTTTAATAACATGATGAAAGTTATTAAAACCTGTTGTCAAAGTAGATTCTAACTCATAACATTTTAAGATTCTGGAAGTTGATTCAACAAACATACTAAGTTTTTCTTATTATGGGGCATGCACAGTCCTAGCCTACATTACTACATTATTATATCAGATAAGTCTTCTAAAGAAAGGAGGGGGGTACTCTTTTATTTAGGGTGGTCTCTTGAGCACAACAACAACGTCTATGTTATAGACTCTTGACATTTCTAGGATTCCTGTGGATAAACTATATTCGTAACTAAGTCAAGGGAACCCTGGCCTAAGTAACTGAATGAATGGAGGTTCTGCCATTTCTTAAGAAAGGAAACACTGACAAAGATAGGGAATGAGTTCTCTAGCAGATAATCAAGGGAAAATGTCAAGCAGGTAATCAGATAAGCAGGCCTGGAATTCAGATTTAAATTTGAGTGTTAGCATACATTGTTTGATGCCATGGAGTCTGCCCAAACTCACAGTGTTTGTAAGTCATATAAAAAACTAAAGTGGGCCCTTAAATTTATTTCACAATTTTTACTTTGTTGGAAAAAATTCATATCTATTGGAGAAAACTCTGGCAAACTAATTTTATTTATACAACTTTCCAGGGTAAGATTTTCTTTCATGCATTTAATATGAAACTTTAAAAAAGGCAGTTTAATGGATTTATAATTTCAATTGAAAAGTTGTTTTAAAAGCAAAAAAAAATATCAGATCATCTAACTTTTAGATATTTAAAAAAACAGAAGAGTACATTTTACCTGGATGGCACAAAATCTTGTAACCAAAAGTAGGATATCAGCGTTGATAATATTATGGACAAAGAGGTTGCAAATCCTTTTAAAATATTATCTGCATACTTAATAACAGCAGCTATTACAAGACCTCCAAGTGCCTGCAAAAGTTTTAGAAGATAATTTTTTAAATGACTGTATATTAAACAGCTTTTCAAAACAATCTCATTACTCAATGACATTTTAGGCTTTTATCCTGTAAATTTAATTTCATTACAGTAAGTGATTTATTTTAAGAAACTATTTTAATTCTCCTGGAATCCAGATTTCTGGGTGTGAGGAGTTGGAGTGCCCCACCAAGGCCATTTGACCTTAGGTGTCCTTTTCAACCTTGAGCCGTTATATGCTGATGTCATATAACCCATTCTGCCATCAGCACTCATGTGAAAAGAAATCCAAATTCAACAACGATGAGTCACTCATAGTAACTCTGTACAGAGTTTCCAAGGTTGTAAATCTTTACAGGGGCAGAAACCTGCATTTTTCTCTTGTGGAATGGCTGGTTGGTTTGAATTGCCAATTTTGCAGTTAACAATCCAGTGTTTATCCTAAAGCACCACACCAGGATTCTATCAAGTCAAACAACACCCTTAGTAAGCAGCGTAGTGTAGCCCACTAGGCCTTGGGCTTTGGGATCTTTTTGAAAACTTATCCATGTGCAGTTACGGAGCCCTGAAGGTGCCGGAGGACAGTAACTGGACTGCTAATAACAATACCAGTGGTTCAAGCCCACTAGATGTTACAAGGGAGAAGGATGAGGCTTTCTGCTCCCGTAAAGACTTACAGCCTTTGAAGCCTTATAAAGGGTCTCTATTATTTGGAACCAGCATCCAGCACTTAACAACAGTCAAAATATTACTCTAACTTGAAAATCACTATTAAATAAACATGAATCAATGTCTATAGTATTGGCTTACTATGGTTTTTATTTTAACAACATTAAACAGCTCTTATAACCAAAAGGTGCTCTATTTCAAAAAGTATGTGATAAACACTAGAGCAATCAATAGTTTGTAATAATGGAGTTTGCTCATAATAAGAATAAAACATTGATCCTCATCCAACTTATTTATGCTAAATCACTTGTATGGACAAATGTTGGAAGACTCGTCATTCTGAATTAGTGAGACATTTTTATTTTTGAGTAAATAGTAAAGTAACTCAAGTTACCTTACCAGCCTTTCAGTAGCCTCTTCAGTTTTCATTGCTGTTGGATTACTCTTCCTAAAGCACATTTAATCATATCCTTTCTTTGAGAATGTGGAAAGTGAACTTCCTAACAAACATTTCTCAAAATCCAAATTGTGGCTACTTAAATAATTAAGTTTTACTTCATAGTTTTGTTTTCTGCCAAACCCTACTTCTTGTTGTTAAGTGTCATCAAGTTGGTTCTCATAGCGACCTGTATAGGGTTTCCAAGGAACAGCTAGTGGGCTTGAACTGCTGACCTTGTAGTTATCAGTCCAGTGCTTATCCTATAGCACCAAATCAGGACTCCTAACCTTTACTTATTGTTGTTGTTTAAGTGCCGTCGAGTCAGTTCTGACTCATAGCAATCCTGTTTAGGGTCTCTAAGGAGCAGTTGGTGAGTTCAATCAAGTCCTGGTGTGGCACAGTAGGATAAACCCTACTGGTGTGGTGGTGGTGGTGATGGTGGTGGTGATGAGCCGTGGAGTTACTTCCGACTCATAGTGATCCTACACAGGGTTCCCAAGGCTGTAAATCTTTACGGGAGCAGAAAGCCTCATCTTATTCCTGTGGAACAGGTGGTGGTTTTGAACTGCTGACCTTGACGTTAGCAGCCCAATTTGTAACCATGACACTCCCAGAGCCCTAAGTCTAGATTATCCACTTTACCAACTTTCACTGCAGTTTACTAAAGAAACTAATGAATCATGCCAATCAAAAGCACTGCAACTTAATATTTGGGTTCTGGATCCTAAGTTCTTGGCAACATTGTCAGTCATCAACTCATCCACTATTAATTCCTCATATCAGCTCTACCTAATCTTTTTATTTTGGCCACCTGTTAAATAGTAAGCACCTTACTCTTAACAGGTGGCTTCCCCTCTTAACTAGGATAAAAGCTTTCATACATAAACTCTCCTGACTTACACTATTTCTACAACAAGTTCTCTCTATATTTTCACTTTTCCTTGCATCATTCTCACCTATCTTTATATACATATATATTTGTTGTTGTAAAATATAAGTATATAACACATTTGTCAATTAACATCATTCTCTCCTGTCTTAAATATAGAAGTATCCTTCCTTCCAAATTCCAAAGACAACTGCTCTTTGACATCTTCATCAGCCTTTCATGACCTCACTCCTTATAGTTTCAATCATATTGAGGAGAATGGAAGTAGATTGTGAGGGCAGTAAGTTGAACTTCATTTTTTAATCTTCCAGAGCACTCAATAAGTTGGTTTTTTTGAGAAAAAAAATATATAGCTTATTCCATTCATGAATAGGAATTCTAGAGAGTTTTACATTTTTTAAATTACTCTTTGTATTACAAAATGAGTCAGTTTACCATACATCAAATGAATAAGAAACATATATATTGAAAATGTAATTATGATATGAGGCTTTCCGCTTAGGTTTCTAATACAATCATTAGGCCTCAGCTGGCAGACCACAGACTTGCTTTTAATAAAAGCTGTAGAAAATTTCAACAGTTTATTTGCTTTCAACTTCAACTATTTTATTTGTTAACTATTTTCATTATGTTAAATTTAACAATCTCTTCATACACAATCCCTTTTCATAACAGGTTTTCATTTGGATATTAAAATCAGCTCCATTTTAACTTCTCCAAATAAACCTTACATAATGAGAAATACAACAGGAAGGACACTATCTCTTATATTAATCTAGCAGTAGTTACTTCAATTCTGTTAAATGAAGCTCAGTAGCATTAAATTTACGACTTTAAATATTTTACCTGAAGTGCAACAACTATCCAGGTCAGTCGGTTATACCCCTGAAAAAATCCATTCTTTGATACTAATTCACCATCATAAATGTACACACCCATTAATCCAAATATACTCCCAAAGAAACCTAAAAAAGATATAAAATTGATGCATAAGTCACATAGTTTGTCTGAGGAGTTATTTTTCCATTGATATTCATATACTTTCATATATATCCTTTCTTTTGACCACTTAATTTTTATTTGGATATTTATATAAACCTAACAAACCTAACATACTATGACCTTAAAACAAATATATACGAATAGAAAAGAAAGTAGAGATGACCAACTTTGAAACACTAAAATAAAAATGTATAAATTACATGGCTACATAACTGTCCCATTAAAATCTTTACAAACTGCTCACATTGGGCATATTTTACTATATCTATGTCTTCCTATTGCAATGTCTGGATTTTGCATATATTTATATTCACACATGCAAATATAAAACTTTACCATGTAGTATAGCATTTTTCCATATGAAGTTCTGAAAGTACAATGAGTAATAACCAAAAAAATCAAGGCTAAGACAGAGTTGGTCATAAGCAATGCCAGACTCTGTCCTTACTGAAGTCTCGCTGTGAAATAAGCAGCTGAGTGAGAGCAGAGATGGTGTCTTGTCCACTGCTCTATCACTTGCCTCTACAACAGAACCTGTCACATAAGTACTGTGTTTAACTGATTTCCATGAACACTGTGAAGCTACCAATAAAGAAATAGATGCCACCTCATTAAACCCACTGCTGTTGAGTTGATTCTGACTCATAGTGACTATAGGACAGAGTAGAACTGCTCTATGGGGTTTCTGAGACTATAAAGCTTTATGGGAGCAGACAAGCTCTTCATTCTTCTGCTAAGCAGCTAGTGGATTTGGGCAGTGACTGGTAAGAGTGCAGAGGTAAGTACTTTTATTTATAAAGCGATAACAATCTGAGAATTCTGCAACAGAAAGAAACTATAAAGGATGTGAAATGAATTTTCTGAAGTTTCATTTATTTCAGCTCTACTGTTTTAAAATGTCTAAATTTCAAACAATGGCTTCAAACCAGTTTCACATAGTTTAGGTTCAGTCATTGACGAGGGAAAACAAAGGTAGCAAATCTGTTCATAACATCAAAATCTCTTCAATATCAGATTTAAGCTTAGCAAGAAACACAAATTTGCCCCACTCCCCAGTGATGTCAGCTGCCATTTTTGAATGAGGTACCACTGCATTTGCTAACCAGAACTAAAACCAAACCCACTGCCATCAAGTCACTCTGACTCATAGCAACCCTAAAGGACAGAGCCAAATTACTCCTTAGGGTTTCCGAGAATACATCTTTATAGGAGCAGACAGTTTCATCTTTCTCCCTCAGCAGCTGGAGGATTTTGAACCACTGACCTTGCATTTAGAGGCCAATATTTAACCCACAGTGCCACCAGTGTTCCTTGCTGGTTTCCTTTTGTTGCTGTTGTTTAGTGCAGTTGAGTCAGTTCCAACTCATAGCAACCCTGTACAGGATTTCCAAGGAGTGGCTGGTGGATTTGAACCACCAACCTTGCAGTCAGCAGTACAGTACTTAGCCTAGAGTGCTACACCAGTGCTCCTTCTTGGGGCAAAAATCCCACATACAAGGGATTTGGTTGCTATGCAATGTATATGTAACCACTGTTTCTATTGGCCATGACTGTGTGATTTTGATCCTGTTAAAAAGCCCTGTTTCAAATATGAAAATAATGCTGCCATAATTTAAAATAATACAAGTAAACACCCTTGGAGGATATTAGATTTTTTTAAATTATAAAAAAATACACAGGAGAAAACCCCAAAGACTCAGTAAAAAAGCTACTAGAACTCATTAGAAGATTCAGTAAAGTGGCAGGATATAAGATCAACATACAAAATTCAGTTGGGGAGAACAAACAAGATGGCGGATCAGGTGGAAGTGCAGTAAGGAGCTCTGCCAGCAAGAACACAGAATACAGAGCCAAGCAGGCTCAGGGGATGATCCCATACTCTGAACCACATATAAAGGAATAGTTAGAAGGTTGGAAGGCTTAGAGCTAGGGGAATTTGTGGCAGAAGCAAGAAATCCATTGCTTTCTAGTTCAGGATGCTCAGCTGCTCCAGGAGCC